TCAATCTTCTCATGCAAAGATTTGAGCTCCTTCTTGTGAGACTCTAACTCTGATCCTCTTAGTGCACGGTCATAATCTTCAGCATAGTTTCCATCACTCAACGCCAAGTTTTCTATCCGCTCCATACCCTCTTCTACCTCTTCATCGAGGAAGTTCCCTTTGCTAGCTGTGTCAAGCAACAACCAGATCTTTGGTGAAGCTCCACAGTATATGGTACTGAGTAGTGTCTCCTCACTGAACCTGTGATGAGGACATTGGATCGTGTAATCTTTGAAACGCTCCATTGCTTCGTTGAATGTCTCGTTGTTCCTTTGAGTGAAACCGCTGATTTCGCTTCTCAGCCGTGCTGTCCTTGTGCTTGAGAAGAACTTTGAGAGGAATGCCTTCTTACACTCAGCCCATGATGTGATGGTGCCTTGTGGGAGGGTCTTCTCCCAATGTCGAGCTTTGTCTCCGAGTGAAAAGGGGAAGAGACGCAGCTTGAAAGCATCTTCGGATATGCCATTGATCTTGATCATCCCACATACTTGCTCGAAGTTGTCTAGGTGCTCCAAGGGGTCTTCCATTGCTAAGTCGTGGAACTTGTTGTTTTGCACCATGGAGATGAAACCTGGCTTGATCTCGAAGTTATTGTTTTGCACCGGAGGAGGAGTGATCCCAAACCTATTGTGGTGGGTATTGGGAGCATCTCCGGCTCCTATGATCCTTGGTGGTCTAGCCGCGTGTTGGGGGTTTCCATTGCCCCGTCCTACTGGAGGAGGTCCTTCTGGATGCTCGTGTTCAGCCATATCTTCAAAGTTAACCAAACCGTGCTGAACAATCTCCTCAAAGGCCCTTGTTTGCTCTCTGACTCTCCTATGCCGTGAGTGACCAAGTTGATGAATGTTGTCTAAGGGTTGTAGAAGATTGTTGTCTTTCCTTGAACGAAAATTCATGTACCTGAAAACACACGTTTGAGAGTAGAAGTATTAGTAACTTGAAAAAGGTAAAGACTTAGTCTTTGCTAAGTTCCAAATCTCTATGTTCTCTAAACCGTCCTAGAATGGCAACGGTGCCATTTGATAAGCTTGTTTCTAGTTCGGGTTTATGATGCAGAGAGGTTATCAAACTCTAATGCAAGCAATGTTGTAGTATAGCAAGCAAGAGAGAGTCAATCCACTTCTAGGAGATAGAGAATGCACAGAGAATGCAAGGACTAAAGCAAATCTAAGCAAAATGAGAAAGTTTATGAGAAAATATCTAAGAACTAGATGCAGCAACCTAAACAGAATGAAACCTATTTTAAAAATACTATAAAGGAAGCAACTACCACGAGAAACAAACGGATTAATTAAAGGAAAGAGCTTCGAATTATTAAAATTCGACTAGTGGATTGACCACGAGATCGACCACTAGATCGAGCAGTAACAATCGATCTCGTCTAAAAATGTAAAAGCAGTGAAACTAATGACCAGGATGCTATCAGATAACAAGCGAAAGATGAGAATAGACGTAAAGATGCTAAAAGAAAGGGCCTAGGGTTAAGATTCATGGTTAGGGGCTTCAAAGGTTCGACCTTGGGTTTGAAACTTTAGATCGACTCACTTGGTGAGGATCTCTAAGCCTTGAAAACAAAACAAGATCTATCCGTGGCTTTCGGTATAGATCACTCTTTCATCCTCTCCTCCAAACCCATGGCTTTTGGTGGAAAAAGAGGTCGAAAGGCAAGGAAAACAGATTTCAAGTAAATGGCTTAACTAGTCCCCCAAACTTCCATGGCTTTTGGGAAGGGGTAACTAGTCTCTAAGGTGTGATCTTCCGAGGCCCCTGGATCATGTCAAGGTAAGGAACCTCTCGGATCATGAAGCTCTTGGCGTGAGAGTCTTCAAGCTTTAAGCTTTCAACACCTTAGAAGAGATAGCCTTTAAAAACGTTTAGAAAAACCCCAAGATCGAAACCTTTTCTACCCTTTAATCCTCTCAACCCCGAACCCAAAGGAACTACTCACTACACATAGAGTAAATCAAGCAAAGCATATGAAACGAGACGATGAACATGAAAGAAAAACTGGATCAAACGATGATGATTCGAATACAAAAGCTTAAGAGAAAAACGAGTTTAAACAATGGTGTTCTTCACGAAAACGAGAGAGAAAACATAAGGAAAAAGATAAGGATCTAAAAGTTATCAAAAAAAGGGCGTCGCCGCCTTGCCTAAAATGCCCAAACAAGCCAATGGTCCCCCCTTCGCTAGCAGCCAAAAACGGTTGAAAGGACAGAAATCGACTCCAAGATCGAGTGGTTCTCTCGATCATATCCGGACATCGTGTCTTCGGCTCGATCTGGGTCTCGATCTTCATCGGCGAATCGAGTGTTGCATCCGATCTCGATATCGATCTTCGGCTGGATCGAGTGGTGTACTCGATCTGTCTCTCGCTCTGCATGGCGTCATTTACGTCCGTACCGATTGATCGATTGCTTCATTAGATCTCCGTCTCAATCATTTTCCTTGGATCGCCTAGTTGGCTTGATCTTCTGGTCGATCAACTCCTAGATCGACCGGCCATGCTCGATCTGCTCCTCGATCTCTGGTCCTTAGCATATTTCCGAGCTCCCACGAACTGCTACATCAGCTTCAACACGTCCACGAACCTCCACGACTCCAAAGCAGCCAGAAATAACCTGAATGTGATGCAAAATGCAAGAAAAAATGCGTATGCTGATGCAAGAATGCTCTAGGACCCTAAGTGATGCAATCTAACCTAAAACATGATACAAATGCATGAAAAGCTAACTAATGAGTATGCAAAATGTATGCAATGTGCAATAACATCAATGGTTATCAACTCTAAATGTCAAGGCAAAAGAATGAAAATTAAGGTTGGTAAAGATGATGCTGCTAAAGGTCCAACTCAAAGAAAGAAGATTAAGGTTGAAGATTCCTACTTCTTTTGTAAGAAAACCGGACATATGAAGGACTGCTAAAAGTACCATGCATGGCGTGGAGAGAAATGTATGTTCCTTGTTATGGTCTGTTCTGAAGTGAACTTAGTTGAAGTACTCAGAAACACTTGGGGGTTAGATTTAGGTGCAACTACTAACATAAATATTTTACTGTAGGGTTTCCTGAGCTATCAAAACCCGACTGAGGCTGAAAGACGCATTCATGTGGCTAATAGATTTCGGGTGGATGCGAAGGCAATTATGTATTTTCTATTGTTTTCTAGTACTGGTCATTTTTTGGATTTAAAAGACAGTTTTGTTGCACCATCATTTAAACAGAATTTAGTTTATGATTTTTATTTAGACAGATCTGGATATTATTGTCTAACTAAGCATGGAAATGTCACTTTGTATTTAAATTTAGTTTTAATTAGAACTGGTACACTTATGGATAATCACAGTCTTTATCTGCTTGACACTGTAGCTTCTCATGATAAAAGATATTGAATTAAGGGGTACAAAACAAAAATTTCAAAAATGCAAGTTCAGGAACTCTGTGGCACAAGAGCTTAAGTCACATCTCTAGAAATAGAAATGAATGACTTATGACATATGGTATCTTGGATTTTGTTGACTTCACAAGTTGTGATGTCTATGTGGATTGCATTTAAGAAAAATAGACCAAATATAAAAAAATAGGTGCATATAAAAGCTAAAGAAGTCCTTAAGTTGATAAATACAAATATTTTGGTCCTTTCTCTAAGGCATCTTAGAATGGTCAATAATACTTTATATCTCTCATAGACGACTATTTTTGATATACATACTTGTTCTTTATCATGAAAAGTTAGAGTCTTTAGACGTGTTCAAAAATTTTAAGGCTGAAGTTGAGAATCAACTCGACCGAAGGATAAAGTTTGTCAGATCTGATCGTGGTGGTGAACACTATGGTCGGTATGACGGTTCAGGTGAACAACGTCCAGAACCATTTGCCAGATACCTAGAGGAATGTGGAATTGTCCCACAATATACCATTATTGGGTCTTCCAGTATGAATGGTGTATCCAAAAGACAAAACCACACTCTTAAGGACATCGTAAAGATTATGATTTGTCATTCCACCTTACCTGAATCACTTTGAGGAGAGGCACTAAAGACTGCAGCTTACAATCTTAATCGGGTACCAACTAAGGCAGCTGCAAAAACCTCTTATGAGATTTGGATTGGCAGGAAACCTAGTTTAAAGAATTTTCACATATGGAGATGTCCAGCTGAGGCTAGGCTTTACAGGCCATTTGAGAAAAAAAAAATTGGACTCTAAAACTGTGAGCAGTTACTTTATCGGTTATTCTGAACGATCTCAGAGATTTAAATTCTATAATCCCATATAAAGGAATATTTTTGAGACGGGAACATTTTTGTTTTTTTAGGATATTAAATTTGAGGGGGGGGGGGGGGGGGGGGGGGGGGGAATGAAGTTAGAGACATAATCTTTGAGGAAAAATTGGATTCAGTTTCTAAACCGATTCATATAGTTGCATTTGATAAGGAAAAATTGAAACCTCAAATTTATACTGAAGCTCTTCCTTCAAATCAAGATGTTCGATGTATTGAAGTGATCCACTAGAGAAAGGAGAAATGCTATTCTATATGATTACATAGTATTTCTTTTTTTTTTGGTCTAAAAATAGAAGTTTAGAGTTTACAAAAGGCCCATTGGGCTAAAGAAAGCAAGAGCTGTTTTTGCAAGCCCGTCTACCACATGATTAGCAGATCGGGGAATGTAGCTAAAGGATAGTGAAGAGAAGAGATGAGCAAGGCACCGAATGTCGAAGAGGATACTTGCGATCTCTGTCAAATCCGCCCTCGTAACGAGGGTGTTGATGAGGACTTCCGAGTCCGATCGGAGGTGGAGATCATGAATCTCCAACGAGATTGCCTTGCGAACTTCGGCTAGGACCGCAAGGGCTTCTGCCACAATGGCTGAGGAGACAAAACATCGCGCTGATGGGTTTTCTATGATCACTGATCCCCGTGTGTCTGAAATGACCCATCCCATTCCTCTTATTCGAGAATTCACTAGCCAAGCGCCATCTGAGCAGCAGATCGAAGCCGTGGGTCGTAGGGAAGTTTTTTCGGATGTACTGGCTTCGAGAGTATCGGAGGTGGAGGGATGTTAGCTGAGTGCCATAGGATCGCTTCCTGGGTGGCTTTGTCGACCAGTTCAGGCGCTGAGTAGCTCGATCCCTCGAAGGTGAGCTTATTCCTAGATGTCCAGAGAATCCAGAGAATCCAGAGGTAAAGAGGGGTTTCCTGTAACGCTGATGAAGGTTGGTTCTTAGACTTGTAGAGAGTGCGTAGCAGATCTCTAGAGTCTATGTCTGTTGAAAGGGTCTTCGGGTTCGGCGTTATGGGGGCTACTCTCCACACCTCTTTTGTGTATGGGCAATCACACCATATGTGTGCAATTGTCTCCTGCTCTCCACATCTTGTGCAACACGCATTTGCGTTTATTTCCCGCCATCGGAGATTCAGTCCCACTGGTAGTGCGTTGTTGGTTTCCCTCTAGAGATAATGCTTGATCTTTTGAGAGGTGTGCATATTCCAGATATACTGGTACCATCCAAACTTTGTATCGCTACTTTGGTTGAATCGTTTTTGAAGATTGTAACTGTCTTTGTTGTAAAATTTCCTGACTTCGCAGGTAGCCACACCAGGGAATCCGGAGGTTTCAACGAACTTGGGATAAGAAGTCTGATGGTATCCTCATACTGAGGTAAGTGAGTTTTTATTGCTTCTAGATTCCAGCTGTTTGTATCCTGATGCAATAGGTCTTTGATGGTTAGGTTTGCATTCATTCGTGTATGTAGTCCCATGGGAACTTGGGGATTCTCTGTCGAGAGCCAGGGCTTGGTCCAGACATTGATGTCTTCTCTATTGCCAACTACCCATCCAAGACCTTTCCGGAGTACTTTCCTTCCTTCCAAGATACCTCTCCATCTGTGGGAGGCTCCGGCTGGACAATCAACATCCATAAAGCGTTGGTCTTGACAGTATTTACCTAACAGGACCTTTGCGAGTAAGATATCCTTATTTTTCAGGATTCTCCAGCTTTGTGTTGCTAAGAGAGCAACATTAAATTCTTCAATCTCCCTGAAACCTAATCCCCCTGCTCTCTTTGGTTGAGATAATCTTATCCAGGCCACCCATGAGATCTTTTGTTTCTCCGGGGAGGAGTCCCAGAAGAACCTTGTCAAGATTGACTTAATGTGTCTACAAAGGGACTTAGGGAGCAGGAAACACGATATTATGTAAGTTGGTAGCGCAAAGAGCACCGCTTGGAGCAGAATCTGCTTCCCTGCTCCTGAGAGGAAGCGAGTGGTCCAGCTGTGAGACCTTTGTCTTATTCTGTCAACTAGGCCTGTGAATACATCCCTTTTTCGTCTTCCAAAGAATTCGAGTAATCCAAGGTATTTCCCAGAGCCACCTTCTTTTGTTATCCTCTTTCGTTGATCTATTGAGGTGTTTTATTGGAGAAAGTGATTGATGATTTGTCTAGGTTAATGCGCTGACCTGATATTTGCTCATATTTCCCCAGGATTCAGGATAACTCTTGACAGCAGGCTTCATTGGTTCCGCAGAAGAACATGGTGTCGTCCGCAAAAAGAAGATGGTTGATATGGGGGCTTCTCCTAGCCACTTGGATCCCTTTCAGTCTGCCTGACTCCTGGGCCTCTCGACAAAATCCTGAGAGGACTTCTGTGCACAAGATGAAGAGGAAGGGGGAGAGAGGGTCACCTTTTCTGAGGCCTCTAGTGGGGAGTACTTTGCCATTTGAAAAGCCATTGATGAGGAATGTGTAGGACACTGAAGTGACACACGCCATGATCCAGCTCACGAAAATCTGGTGGAAGCCTAGGCCTTGTAGAACCTCTCGAAGAAAACCCCACTCTATGCGGTCGTAAGCTTTGCTTATATCAGTTTTTATAACCATTGAGCACCGTTTAGTGGCTTGTGACAATTTCAAGTAATGCAGGGTCTCATGTGTGATGAGGACATTATCGGCAATGGCTCTACCAGGGATGAAACCTGACTGATGCTCCAAGACAAGATTGCAGAGGAGAGGTTGCAGACGGGAGGTGAGGATCTTTACTATGATTTTTTATCGCACATTACAGAGGGCTATAGGTCGATACTCAGATGGTGTTTTAGCCGCTAATGACTTGGAAAGGAGGCAAACATGGATGTCATTTAGGTTAGCTTCCATTACCTCTGTAAGGAAGAATCTTGTTATATCTTGACTGATGTCATCTCCTATAATGTGCCAGAAGGAGTGGTAGAATCCTGCCGAAAATCCATCCGGTCCTGGTGTTTTATCCGCGTGAATGGCAAAGGCTGCCTCTCGAATCTCCTCATTTGAAGGTAGCTTAATCATGCTCTCGTTTAGTTCTGAGGTAACCTTTGTTTTAAGAACCTCTAACACCTCCTTATACTCTGATATACCATTTGAGGTGATTATTTCGTGGTAGAAGGTTGAGAAGACTTTGCTTATTTGGTCCTCTTCAAACACTGTATCTCCCCAGCTATTTTCTATAACCGTGAGTCGATTCACCGATCTTCTACCTTTTGTTACTGCGTGAAAGTAGGCAGAGTTCTTGTCTCCTCCTTGTAGCCACTGGACTCTACTTCTTTGTCTCCAAAACGGTTCCTCAGCCTTGTAAGTCTTATCAAGTTCCTCTGTGATGTCTCTTAAAAGCGTGTTATTTGGACTTGCTTCTGAAAGGGCTACTTCTAGGGTATTCTATAGTTTCTTCATTGCTTCAGCACTACTTTTTTGCTTGTTTTTTTCCAACCTAATCAGCTCTCTTCTGCACCGACTGATTTTTATTGCTACTGTTTCAGTTGTATTCGGCCTCCAAGCTTGTTCAGTTACTGCTCTTACTCCTTCCATAGCACTCAAGCGCCTGTCATACCTAAAAGGTTTCTTTTTCTTCACTCTGTTTCCATCGAGGAAGGTGACTAAGGGCCTGTGATCGGAGCTTTCAAAGCGTAGATATTCACATCAGCCCGATGGGAAGAGGTCTGACCATTCGCAATTGGCCATGGCCCTATCGAGCCTGGCTTGGATGAAATGGTCGTGTCGCTGTCCTCTCCATGAAAGAAGGTTCCCTGAGTGTTTGATGTCTCAAAGACCATTTTGGGAGACGAAACTTCGGAAAGGGATGAAGGAGCCTTCACATCTAGTCGGCCCTCCCACCTTTTCAGCGTTTTCTAACAAGTCATTGAAGTCCCCTGTTAGACACCATGTCTCTTCCTAAATGTGAGATGGTCTCCCAGAAGGTAGTTCTATCTTCTTTCTGCGGCGGTCCGTATAAGAGGGTAAGGAAGAAACTAGTCCCTTTGGATACTACTTCTGTGTCTATATAGTTTGCAGAGAAAGATAGGATAGTGATCTTGATCTCTTTCTTCCAGAGCAGTGCGAGACCTCCACTTGTTACTACAGGGGGAACAGTGAAATGGCATTCATATCCCATCCATTGCAGCGCCGCTAAGGTTTTTTCATCTTGGTTCTTTGTCTCTGATAAGAACAAGATGTCGGGGAAGAGGGACTTATGAAATTCCCTCAAATGGTGACTTGTCAGGATAGCCCCGATCCCCTGACAGTTCCAGCTCAGAAGGGCTAAGGAAGAGGGTTTTGGGGGATCCGAAAATCCGTCCCTCCCTTCCTTGAAGATGGGTTAGCAACTTTGGATGTTTGGCCTCTTTCCTCATTGTGAGGTAATTCATCTTCCACTGTGATTTCCGTTTGGACTAGTCTTTTCCTTGTTGCTGTTGTGTTACGCGTGGTGAGTATTTTCTTTGAGCTAGCTCCTGGGAGGGGACTTTGAGTAGATTTCCCTTTCCCTCCTGTCGTTTTCCTTTTCGTGATAGTTCTTGATGTTTGTGCTGTCTTACTGACAGGTGGTTTCCGGGCTTTACTTTTGGTTTTTCCTGGTTCTCCAAGATGAAGGGAAGGATGGAGGCGGTCCCCTGACGTGTGGTTTTTTTTGGTTGTCCCCCGAAAACGTCATCATAGTGGATTTCTACTTCCTGGAGTCTGCTCGAGAGTAGGCTAGAGCCTCCTGTTCTTCCTTGGGGGGCCATTAGGATCAGCGATGATATTCTGTCCAGTGCTGATCTCCTGTGTGGGGTGGACCTATTGACTTCTCCCAATTCCGCAGTAAGCGGTAAAACCATTGCTTCTCTTGGGGGGTTTGGCGGAGGAGTATGCGACTGTTGGGTTCTCTGAGAAGCCTGAGGGGACTGACGGTAAATGTTACCTTGGATATGAGATGTAAACCTTGGTGAGTACTCCTTTGAGTTTTTCCCAGAGTGACTTCCTGCTTTGGATTGTAGGATTCTTTCTACTGGGGACTGTGCTTGGAGGCGAGAAGGCGACCTCTCACTGTGATGGTTGTAAGATCTCTCACGTCTGGCTTCTCTATCTGCCGGGCGGTTGTATTTTCGGCTTATGTTTCGGTTAATATCCCCACTAGTGGGGTAGTGTAAGCTTTCTGCCATGCCTTTAGACCTCAAAGGGGAAGGACTTCTCTTATTGCGCGAGGATAGGTGGGTTCGATCTTGAAAGGAAATGTCCCTAAAGTTTCTGTAGGGCTCTTCTCTACGAGGAAACTCTCTTCCCCGAGGGGGAACTCCTGACCTGCTTTGGAGTCTCCTTCCGGTCTCTGGTTGCTGGAGCTTTGGGAGTTTCTTTCTGCTTCTGGGGGCAGTCTTTTTCCTCATGCAAGAGGGAATAGCAGCAAAAACAGTGTTTTTCCAGTTTTTTATATTCTAAGGTTACCCATAATACTTCTCCAGAGGGTAAGCTAATTGGGAGCTTCATTTCCAAAGATTTGAGACCATTGATCTCTATTCTTAGCCTTCCTTCCGAGATGTTCTTGTCTTTTACTTGACCTAGAGCTTTCCTTATCGATAGGAAGGTAGATTTGAGCCAAAAGTGGAGCGGAACTCCGTGTATCTTCACCCAGAACAGGATGGAGGAGGGATAGCTGTTGGAGATTACTAGTTCCCAGCGCTGGAGGATGAGCATCCATCTCTTGTAGTGGTAGGGTGCTCTCCGGAGTATGGTTGAGAGGGCTTCTTCAGATTCGAACTTGAAACTGAACAGATCTGGGCCTAGGGGTCGGCCTATCACCGTGGAGTCAAGGTTCCAGAATGTGAGAGCCATTCCACCAACCACTGAGGTTTTTGAGACACAAAGTTTGTCACCCAACCAATTAGAGTGAGTTTTTTTTCTTCTATGAGAGCCGAACTGTCACTCTCAGGGATCTGAATAGGTGTTCGGCGTTCCAGAGCCGAGGGTGATGGGATCCATTTCTCTTTTTTAGCAGTCGAGTAGCGGTGAGACATCTTGACTTTCCTTTCTGCTTTGTGAGGGAGTGAGCAACAGGGAGGTGGTGTTATAAGTATATGCTTTGATAGATGATAGAGAAATGAGAGGATCCCCACAATGGGGTAACGCTTGAATATTATTCGTGTTCTTGTAGAGGTCTTGATTAGGTTGAGGGTTAAGATAAAGCTATTTCTTTACCCGCCAGACTCTCCCGATGCGAAATGAATATTGATGATTTCTTAATGTGCTTACATCTCAGGGGTTGGACGGTTGGATATGGAGTTCTCCCCATGAATTCCGACGGTGACGGCGGCCCTCCGACCCGAAGGTGGGGGTGAAACCACGGTGACGCTTTTCCCAAGGTAGGATAAATTTAAAAAACCTTCTATTTTAAGTAAAGGAAAGTGGTTGAGGGAAGAGACCAGTTATCAAACTAACAGTGAAGAATTTTTCTCGAGAACCGGGGCAGAAAAGAACTCCGAGGTTGTGGGGTTTTTATTCTTAGGTTGCAATATTTCTTATAGAATAAAATAAAAATCAAAACCTAGGTGAAAGATGATTTTATCAACTTCTGCAAAACCATGAATAGTTCCAATTTTATATAAGTAGGTTAAAGCTAGTGAAGAAGAGTATCAGTGGATGCTAGACAATAAGGTTTGGAATATTGTCTAATTACCAAAAAGAAATATTTTTTGTCAAAATCGTACGTTATTTGTTAATCAGTATGATTTGTAAAAAGAAATATCTTATGTTATTAATATACATGAATGTATTTGCACTATTTCGCTGAAGAAACAAGAAAAAACATTATGTGTAGATATTCTTATTGTATATATACAGTATTTGCTTTTTATACTTACCAAGTGTCCCATAAGGCATAGATTTGATAACAAAGAAGATGGAAATCATATAGGATATCCATTGGATATTGTTCAAGTTGTAATTTTAAACGTTGCTCTTTAAAGAGAGGAAAATATGAATCAACATTTTTAACTTATGATTTAACGGTCCATTTAAAAATTTAGAATATTTCATCATCCCTTGCTATCCCTCGATTTTCAAGTATAAAGTATTTAGGAAGACAAACCAAAGAAAACACAAAATTATTGGGATATACTGGGTTTTTTTATATGTACGTAGCTTGGATATATATTATGAATTTGATATAAATTTTTATTTTTTATTAATTTTAAATTATTAAAAGCATAATAAATTTACATAAATTTTTCATAAATTTTTTAATATATTATTATTTTGTATATGTTAACATGTTAACATGTTTATTATTCACTTCCATTTTATCAAGATCTAACATGAAAATTATTAATTTATTTTGTATTCTTTCATCTACATTAAATGTATTTAATACATTAAATGTATTTGATGGTCTTCCATGTTCAAATTCTATTTGGATTTCTTTTTGATTTAAAAAAAATTTATGACGCCTATTGAATTTTCCAATCTTGATGTGGTCGTAAAACATGCATATTTAGTTTAGAAACGAATATTTTGTTTTCCTAAGATCCTGATTTTTTTTTTCTTTATTTTCATTGTGATTTGTAATTTTTTTAATATATAATATGTTTTTTTACAATTTGTTTATAAATGAATAATACAAATAATTCTCCAATGCTGCTTATGAGTTCGGAAACAAACTGAATTTTCTTTATCTAAGGTTTATGTATTCAAATTTTTGGTATTTGATTAATGTTGTATACCTAAGCATCTATTACCTCTAGAATTGTTTGACATGTTAGAAAACTGAAATAAATACTCTTTTAATATATATTTATATTGTATATTTCAATATCTTTATCCATTTTTCATAAATAATTATGCAATTCTGCAACATATTTATCACCCAAATTCATTCTATTCTAATAAGTTACCATCACCATGTTCAAATACCGTTTGGATTTAGTCTTCTTGCTAAGATCGTGGTGATTCTTTTGTTTTTTTGTGATTTTGGTAGTAGTTTTGATATAAATTTTTTGCTTTTAATTTTTTCTTGAAATAAATACTACAAATAATTTTTCAAGTTGGTGCCTTTTGAGTTCGAAAACAAAATAAAAAAAAAATTTCTCTAAGGTTTATGTGTTCAAATATTTGGTTAGTTGATTGAGTCTGATTAACACTATGTACATAAGCATCTATTATCCCTGATTTATATTGATTCTTTTTTTTAAAAAATTAGACATGGCGTTTTATCAAAAAAAATTAATGCGAATGCAAAGTGTAATATGAATTGGTTGGAAAATGGAGAAGATCTGATTTTTCAGGTTTGAGCTCTATAGGAATGTGTTTGAGAAAATAATAGGATTTCATGCACACTCATGTCGAGCTCAATCTATAAGATTGCATATAAGAAAAGAATCAGAAACATCCACATGGTAATTTAAAAAATATATTTGATGTAGAAACTCGTGAAATTTACTGCAATTTTACATATTAATTTATAATTGATGTTAATAATTTATAAATAAAATATTTTGTAGACTAAATTTTAAAATTATTTCCTTTTAGAACTTTTTTTGTTAGGATAAATCTTTTGCCATTGATTTTATATTTTATCTTGGCGTATACAATTCTTTGTTATTATTTTATTTTTTTGTTAGTTAAACTTTGATGTTGTTGATATTTCAAAGATCTAGTTAAGAAATCATGTTAAATTTCTTTTTAGATGTTTTTTTTTAATATTTTTCATTTATATTTTCATGATTTTCATTTTATTTTCATATATACGATTATTTTTAAGGTATTAATATTTTTGAGACATATAATTGTTTTTGTCAGATAGGCTTTTTGATGATTTTAAAAGAGTTAACGTAAATATGAGTTAATTTCCTTCAAGATGAATTTTATTTTGTTTTTAATTTGAATTTTTGATATTGATTTTTATTTTATTTTGAAAAATACAATTTTGTGAATATCTTTCACAACTCAATTTGAGTTGACAAAAATATGCACTATTTACAAAGAAAATGTTTCATATCACATTTTCCTTTCAAATCTGATGTGAGATATTTTTAGTTTTAATTATTTTTTTATTTTTTCTTTCGCCGTTAGTTTTATTTATGTTCTACACTTAATTAATTTTTATTTTTAATAAAGCGTTAATAAACATCATATGCATATAACATATTTGTTTCTTTAAAAGAATCTATAACATATTTGTTTCATAAAAAAATTGAACACATACCACAACTAATATATTTTAGTTAACAGTTCTGATTTTTAATTGTATATCATAATTAAAATTTTGAAATAATTTAATTATGATTTTAACTACAGTTTTTAAATTATTTTGTTTAATTTATATGATTTTTTAATAATCTATAATATGTTAAAATTTTTTATTATTAATAGGAAAATAAGATCTTATTTCCTTATTTTCTAAACTTTCTTTTATTAATAACTATCTTAAAATTTATAAATTTTTCTAATAGTGATAAAAGTAAAATTATTTAATTTTAATATATATAATTTCAATGATGTCTAATAGAATTGGATTTTTTAAATTCTATGTGAACACCCAATACCATCAACTTTTATTAGTAATAATAGATACATACGATCAAATTCATAATTTGGCAAACAGTTATTAATTTATTAATTAATTAATATCTGTATAAAATAATAGATTTTCAAAAATTCTAATTAAAACAATAACTGACTTACATCTAATTATAACAGAAATGTTCTACATACATTAATGAATTATATATGTTTTGTTTAAAGGATAGAGACAAAGACTATTCCACAATTAAATAGGGTGTAAGAACCGAAAAAATTAAAGCTTCCCTGTTCTAGGGTTTCCCTTTCGACATCGTTCGAAATCTCTTCCAGTTAATCTGGTTTCAACTTTTTCTAAGCTTTAATTTCATCTGTCTCCTCCCTCTCTTATCCTATATGTACTCAATTTTTATCTTTCATGGCTTCTCAAAGTTTCTCATCTGCCCAGAAAGAGTTATGGAAAACCTTTCAAAATCTGAAGATTGGATCCAATAAAACTATTTGGGAGGTTCATGATGATGCTCAAGATCAATTTGAAAAGGATCATCGCTTATGTCTAGTAGTCCAAGGCCTTAACCCAGAACATCAAAATCCGATTAGCATGAAGCATACTCTTCCGAAGGCTTGGAACTTGGCAGGAAAAGTAGAGGGGCCAGTTAATGATGACGGTACTGTTCAACTTTTATTTCAGATCGGAGCACCATCTTCTCACCATTCTAGAAAATGCTCCTTACACTTTTAAAGGCTGGATGGTCGCTATTGACAGATGGAATCGGAGAGACTTGCCAACGTTTCTCAAAACAATTCCCTTTTGGGTTCGGATTGAAAATTTACCAAATGTTTTCCGAAGGGAGCAAATTGTTCGGAGTATTGGATCCAAGCTTGGCCATGTAGAAGAGGTGGAGATTTCTGAACCAACTACTCTTCGTCCTGCAGAAGTCTGGGTGAAAGTTCGCTTCAATATTGACAATGAACTAACCTTAGCGAGAACTGTCCAAATTACCCGTACCAGCAAGCCCGTAGAGTTGGAGTTCCGTTATGATGTCTTGCAAAAGTTCTGTACTAATTGTGGAAGCTTAAAGCATAGTTTCGATGTTTGCCCTCATCCTCCTAATCTCGAGACTCAAAGCTTCCAACTGATGCAAATCGATCCCGTGACATCTCAGTTGGAAACCTCTGTCGTAGAGCTCCCATCTTCGTCAGGTCAAGCTCAGGGGCCGTCTCCAGAAGTATCCATCCTTGCTCCTGTAAGTTCTGCCCCAACTCTCCCCTCTTTCCCTGCCTTGACGATAGTATCATCAGACCAAGGGGAGTCCTCTCGTAGCATGGATCATGGTGCTAAAAGGAAGCTGCAGGATGATGAAGATAACCTGCAATCGTCCATTATTAAACGTCAATCCCGAGTCTCAACTGAAGCAACAGGGTTGGTGGCTCCCTTAAAACCACCAGAGGATCAATGAAGCTTTTGCATTGGAATTGTCAAGGTTTAGGGAGCAGCCTGACAATTCCAAATCTTAAAGATATCAGGAGGTCTTCAAAACCTGATATCATGCTCCTTGTAGAAACTAAGAATAGTGATAGTATGGTTGAACAAGTATCAAAAGAGCTTAGTTATGCCCACTGTATTATAGTATCTCCAAAGGGACTTAGTGGTGAAATGGCAATTTTCTGGGATGATAGCGTAGCCATCAAATTTTTGTCTAATCCTGCTCTTAATAGCACGGACATGTGTATAACGGAAGGTGTAAACACTTTTTGGTGCACCTATATATATGGAAATCCAGTTTATAAGTATCGTAAGGCTCAATGGTTTTCTATGATTTCTCAAGCTAATGTAGGGTGCTATCAAGATAAGCCGTACTTGGTGTTTGGTGACTTCAATGATATTGCTTCCAACGCGGATAAAAAGGGTGGTCCTTCCAGGTCTAAAATTTCTTTCTCTCTATTTTGCAATATGTTATCTGTATATGGGTTACATGATTTGAAAACTGTTGGCGGTAAATACATCTGGACTGGGACCCGTCATTTGCACACTGTCAAATCTAGAATTGACCGTGCAGTTGCTAATTGTCATTGGCTTGATATGTTTCCTACTGCTTATATCCAGCTTCTCCCTTGGAATGGCTCTGATCATCGCCCATTACTCATTCATACAGAGCTGCACCGCAAAGTTGGCTATAAGATGTTTTGCTATGATAATAGGTGGAAGTGCAATACAGAGGTACGTGAATTAGTTGCCAATACCTGGAATACTCATTGCACGACGATCCCTCCTATTAATTTTAGAAAAGCTATAGCTAAGTGTCGAGTTGCCTTGTCCCAGTGGAAAAGTACCACAATTCAAAATTCACAAAAGCAAATTGCGGATCTTAGGAATCAACTTCATACTGCTTATGAGGCTTCTCAATTAGATTATCATCTCATTCATTCATTAAAGTCTCAATTGCAGTTTCAATACAAGATGGAGGAAGAGTAATGGAAATTGAAGAGTAGGATCCTTTGGTTGCAAGTTGGGGACAGAAATACTCAGTACTTTCATGCCAAGACAAAGCAAAGACGAGCTTTTAATCGGATCCTACACTTGCGAGATGAAACAGGTCATCAATTTTCTAAACCAGAAGAAGTTCAAAAAGAAATTCAGCATTACTTTGCAGGATTATATACCTCTAATGGATGTGATATTTCTCAGGAAATTCTTGATAACATCCCCACCACAGTCACCCCTGAAATCAATTGTGCGCTCACTTCTCCGATTAGTGAAGATAAGGTAAGAAAAGCAGTATTTTCTACCAATCCGGACAAATCGCCAGGCCCTGACGGTATGACAGCTGGATTCTTTCGACATCATTGGCCTACTATAAAACAAGGTGTGTACTCTTTTGTTCAGCTTTTCTTTGAAGGGAATTATTTGGATCCAGAACTTAATCATACTCATATCTGTTTGGTACTCAAAATCCCAACACCTACAATGGTTAAAGATTATAGACCTATTAGCCTTACTAATGTGGCTTATAAGATTATCTCAAAGATACTAGCTGAGCGGTTAAAAATTTGGTTGCATTCTATTATTTCAGATAATCAATCTCCTTTCATACCTGGACGATTTATAACTGACAATGTGTTGATTGCTCATGAGCTATTACATTCGTTGCATACTAAAAAGTTGTCTAAGGATTATATGGCCTTAAAGCTCGATATTACTAAAGCTTTTGATCGTGTTGAATGGCCATTTCTTAATGTGGTTATGAAGCAGATGGGATTCAATGAACAGTGGAGAGCCTGGATTATGCAATGTATCTCTACTGCTTCTTACTCTGTTCTCATTAACGGAGCCCCCTCCGACAAAATTATCCTCACGCGAGGCATCCGTCAAGGTGACCCTATCTCCCCTTACCTATATTTGATTTGTACTGAGGGCTTATCTAGACTCATCAAGAGCCGCATCCAAAGCAAGATTATTCATGGCTAGTGAGCCTCTAGAAGTGGGCCAATAATTTCGCATCTACTTTTTGCAGATGACTCTCTCCTCTTCTGCAGAGCCTCAGAATTTGAATGTGCTAATTTGATGGATGTCTTATCTATTTATCAACGAGGCTCAGGTCAGGAAATTAACTATAACAAGTCTACAGTTACTTTCAGTAAGGATACTGCTAATGCTACTCAGTAGCTAATTATCAGAAGAACAGGTATTCATAAAATCGGAGGGTTAGGGCGCTATCTTGGTCTACCAGAGCATATTGGAAGGCGACGAAAGGATGTCTTTCAATACATCATGCAACGTGTGCAGAATAAGATAGATAGCTGGTATAATCGCTATCTCTCTCAAGCAGGTAAAGAAGTCTTACTCAAATCTGTAATAACTTCTCTTCCTAATTATACAATGTCCTGTTTTATGCTACCTAAAAGTATTATTCGAGATATTACTTCTGCAATGCGTAGCTTCTGGTGGTCCGGAGTTAAAGGACACCATAAGATCCCTTGGGTGGCGTGGGATAAGATAACAACTTCAAAAGGGGATGGCGGGCTTGGTATTTCCGACTTGCATGATTTTAATCTGGCCCTATTAGCGAAACAAGCTTGGCGCATACTTCAATCTCCCAACTCGTTGGTAGCGCGAGTTTTCAAAGCTAAATACTTTTGTCACTCTTCTTTCCTAGAAGCTACAAGTTATACGAAATCAAGCTATGCGTGGAAGAGTATCATTCAGAGTCAACCTTTATTGAAATATGGTAGTCGTTGGCTTGTGAGTAAAGGAGATCAGATACATGTTTGGAGAGACAACTGGTTACCCACAGAGCCTCCTCGTCCTCTATGTCCCAGGCAAGACACTGTTCCTCCCAATTTCTATGTAGCTGATTTTATTAATCCTCGAACTTCTCACTGGGACTATCAAAAGTTGACTACATTTGTGGATTCTGACGACATAGCAAATATTATGCAATTGCGTCCAAGCGTATCCTCTGCCAATGATGTTCTTACCTGGGCCTACACAAATCAAGGGGGATACTCAGTTAAGTCTGGATATTATATCCAAAGACGTTTAACAACAGAGAGTTTAGCGTCGGACTGCCAACGTACAAGCATCCCCGATGAAGTTAAACAGGTTTGTCGACTTCTTTGGAAGACTAAACTCCCGCCTAAACTTAAGCTTTTCTTGTGGCGTATTGCTCATAATAGTTTACCTGTTTCTGCTAATCTTCGGAAGCGTAATCTGAATATAGATGATAGTTGCCATCTATGTGGAGATTCTGCAGAAACATTAAATCATCTACTCTTTCAATGTCAAGTCACCAAAGAGATTTGGGAGTTAGCCACCTCTGTAATAATGCAAACTGAGCTCCTTACTCAAAATACGTTGCTGCAAAATTTAAACTTAAGGATAACTCAATTGCAACCTCACCATGCTGAAACACTTGTGTTTTTTCTAGGATGGCGTATCTGGAAAATGCGTAACAAATTGTTCTTTGAACACAAGAGAGATCACATCACTCATTCTATAAGGATGGCTTTCTTAGACAAACAGCAATGGGAGGACTCGCTTCATTCGGAGTCGCCTGTTACAGAAAATGTATCTTCGTCTGAAGCTACCTTAATTACCGATGTTATTGGAGACAGTTCTACCTATTACTGCTTAGTTGATGCGTCTTGGGTATTATCTTCAAATAGAGCAGGAATTGGATGGTCCTTATATAGCAAAGAAGGCATTCAATTGCTCCAAAGTAATGCATCTATACCACAGACGCAAACATTTATTCAGGCCGAAGGAATAGCTTTACTTATGGCTATTCAACGTCTTCAGGTATTAGGATATAATCATATAACTTTTGCAGGTAATTGCAAAGTCTTATATGATATCCTTGCTTCTCACAGTGGAGGACAACAGCTCAATGGCACACCATTCTCTTCAGCCTCCATTGCAATTCTCCTACAAGATATCTTATCTCTCTCCTCTACATCGTCTTTTCACTTTAAATATGTTTCACGAAATTTACTACATGAAGTCGATAAGTTGGCCAAGGAAGCTAGACGGCATTGTAAAGAGTACGGTGTTACGTGGTTCTTGTAACTTGTACGCCTTGTTCTATTAATATAAGTAACAAAGTTGCCGACAAAAAAAAAAAAAAAATGTTTTGTTTAAAGATTAGGAGGAATTGGCATTTGTTTGACTATAACCAAAACTTGAAAGCCAACAAGTATGAGATCTGGTCTTTTACCACAATGAAGATACTATACAGTACTTTATAACAAGATGGAAGCACCCGATACATAAAAAAATGTACATCAGATAAAAGCTCCTACAAAGTTTCTCTCCAGCCCCATAACTGGAAATACATTAAAGCATACCCAAATGTATACTCGGTATACAGTCCAACCACGTTTAACCGGAGTTACAGTCCTTATGATGTTCCTCTCCTTTTACCACCTCCACTTGCCCTTTTTACCTGTAAAACAAGACAGATCAAAGCGAAAATTGAAATCTAAGATTGAACTTGTAATTGTAAAAAAATAAAACAAAGCCTCAATTGAACGCTTAAAGTAAGATTGAAAAATGTAACACTTCAATTTGAAGCCATTAAAAAAGTTCGACTTAATACAATTTAGATTTAATACTACTTGGTTAGACAAGTGTTACCAAGTGCCACTGAAAATATGAAGACTTCAATTTGAAAACAGTAAAAAGATTGAACTTTTACAACTATAGTCCACTGAATTTTTAAAGACTTCAATACCCGGTTTGTGAAAACAATCAAAACAATGAACTGAACTTGTTGCTGAGTAACCAAGTGGAACTTATTGCTCAAACAATTTGAAAATAATGAAAAGATTGGACTTTTTTCAACGTTTTCAAAACAATGAACTGAACTTATTGCTCAGACAGTCAGACTCAGAGTAAGATTTGCAAGTTACATACCCGGTCTGTGAAAGCCGTCTCCAGTTCAATATTTCATGGTGATTCTGCAAGTAGCTAGATGTTGTACTTCCTCCTCCAATCCCATTTTCTTCACTAGCGTACTGTTCTGAGTACCCGGACCACTCGGGGACAATGCCTCCGTCCCTCTCTCTTCTTCCGCTGCTCGAAGATTCCGCTGTCGAATCCTCAGTGTTCTCTGCAACAATTCTAATATTGAACTCTGGAATCATAGCAGCGACTTGGTTTGAAGCCGGTTCTGCTCTCGGCTGTTGATGAGCTTGGTTGGTGTTGACCATGTTCCTTGGAACCTCGGCTCTGCTATCTCCTACTGAATTTCTTAAACTCATAGACGACTCTTCGTCTTCTTCAGGTCTAATCAAAGAAGTCGTAATGCTTGGAACCATCTGATCTTCATATCTCCTGATTATGTTGACCCTAGTTGGTTCAGTCTCTTCCATTGTGATGTCCCTTGGAAACTCTATAGGAGCTTCCTCCAACTCAGTAGAATCTCCAAGTCCTTCTTCTGATCCATTCTCTACTGCAGCTCTTGAAGCAGCTTCTAGTTGCCACATCTGCGAAAGAGCTTCATGAAGCCGTGATTTAGCTTCATCTAGTCCTACTATAGGTCGAGGATAGTTAGATCCAAGCTCAATACCAGCAGCTTGAAGCACTGATTCAGGCGCGTTCCACGGATGATGTATCCATTCCGTAGGGAGCCTAGAAAGCTCAGGAAGCCATCGCCTTACGTATTCTCCATTGGGGTCGAACTTGTACCCTTCGAACTGCGGGTTATCTATGCGATCAAACTCCCGGCTATCCGGGAGAGTACCGGTAATGTATTGCCAACCAAGAGCATCGCTTTCTAAATCTGCATCGAGCAATGTGTCCCAGAAATACTTCATTCCCCATCTCCATGGTAATTGAAGTACTTTAACAAAGAAGCTTGAAACAACTACTCTTATGCGATCATGTAGCCAACCAGTAGCCCATAACTCTCTCATCCCGGCGTCGACCAACGGATATCCGGTCCGGCCTTGCCTCCATGCCTTGAAATAGTTCTCATCTACAGCCCAAGGGAAGAACTTAAGATGTCCAAGAAGTGGTCTTTCATGAGAGTATGGATGGTTAAAGCTTATGTATCTTGAATATTCCCTGAGACCAATCGATTTGAGGAAAAGGTTAACACTTTCTTCTCCGGCCTGGTTTCCTTCGTTTGCCCATGCGACCTGTTTGATCCGAACAAGATGGAAAACTTTTCTCACACTCACTTCCCCAAAATGCAAATGTGGAGAAAGAAACGAGGTTGTGGCACTATCGGCTTTTCTGCGGTTCTTAGAGTATTCAATTAATGGTCCGTTTATGAAAGTTGTGAGAGCTTTATCACCATTACTCCATCCCGGAGACCAAGCACGAGCAAGAAGTGCATTGCTTCCTTTCTCTGATTCATCCTCAAAGACCAATGTATCCGGAACACACTTCGACACATCCCCTGCAACATAAGAGTAATCAAAATAGATAACACAGATTTGGGGAAAAGCCACAAGAGAGTGTTGGCTGAGAAACAAACCTGAAATGATCTTCTTGGGAGGAAGAAGAGGAGACTCAGGGTCATAAGGCATGCTTAGACATCTTTCCCAAAAGGCAGCAAACATTGAGAAAGGACGACCTAATTCATCAGTCACTTCCCATGGCTCGTAAAGCAAATCCGCGTTGAATGATCTAACCGCTATGCCTTTTGCTGTTAGAACGTCCTTGGCACGGTGATCACGGACCAAAGATAAGGGATCTGAAAGATCAAAACTTTTTCTTCTTAGAGTAGATAATATATTGTCAATACATATATAAGACATAATAGATTTTGAAAAATTCCTCTTTTTCAGTTTTAGATCATCTTATAACACATCTACAATTACAGGGCAAATAACACCAAACAATACACAACCCAGAAGAGTAGAGATTATTCAAATGACAAAAATGATATCTTTCAAGCAACCCATGAACCAATATGCAATTCGGATCAAACCCTTCAATCAAGAAACAGTAGATTTAAAAAAAGGAACCAAGAGAGGGAAGAAGATGAAAACAGACCATACAAATGGTTGAAGAAGATCTGAGAAGCACCAGTGGATTTAACAACTTCAAGAAGTGAAGCAACGCTATCAGTAGATCTCTTGGTGATGAGACAAGTACCAAGGCTTCTGAGAGAAGAATCAAGCTGAGACAAACTGTTCTTGAGCCACCACCTTGAAACCCTACCTGGATGATAGTGTCCTTCTTCCTCTGGTGCCCATACAAACACTGCAATTACAGGACCAGCTCTTACAGCTGCAGCTAAAGCTGGATTATCTTCGACCCTAAGATCTCTTCTAAACCATACAATAGTACAACCACCACCACCAGTAGAACCAGAACCGGAACCAGACATCTCTCAAAACTAAACCTAAGCTTTTTGCCAATAAGCTGAAAATAAAAAACCCCAAATTGATTTTAGGGAAAAAATGATTTTTTTAATCGAACTATGCAGAAGAATCGAAACCCTTTGGTGGCTTATCTCTCTTCTCTCTCTTTGGGAGAGGAAAGACAAAAGAAAATTGTGGAGATTTTTTTGATGAGAGAAAAAAAAAAAAAAAAGCTTATCTTTTCGAATATCTGTGCTTGAGTGCCTCTCTGGCAAATGCAACTATATACTTTTGGGAATTATTCACCCAAAAAGATTTTTCCTAATTTTGGACAAAGTAGTTTCGAATAATGACCAACCAAAAAAAGCAATAAGCGTTATTCTACATTACATTTAGAGTAACATTTATTATTCTTTTTTATATTTATTATTAAGTTACAGTTATAAAAATAATTATCATTAAAATAAAATTAAAATGTTAAAATGAAATAAATTATCCAAATACTTTTGTTTTTGTAGAGAAAAAAAACAAGAAAATTGGAGGTTGATAGAGAGCGGCGAAGAAGATTTGACACTAAGTAGGAATAATGATTCAATTCACACGACGAGATTTATTGGAAAAGTTTTCCACCACAACTTTATATTAAATTTTCCTTTTTTCTTCCCACTTGAAATATTATCCCTATCCAATTGAAACCAAATCAACTGTGACTCACAAGTTTTCTACTCCTTTCCCCAATAATTTCGCCTTTTCAATGTTTAAAAATTACAATAAAGAATCTGATACTTTAGCTCTAGAATCAATTCTACTCAGTTTATAAAAATCATATAGAATAATATACTAGTAAATAAAAATCATATAGAATAATATACTAGTAAACTGATTCCTACACATGGATTTATACTGGACGTATCGTTGGTTAATCTATATACGAAAATTTTAAAAGCTAACTTTAACAAGTAATAACAATATTAAATATACTAAAGCAATAAGAATATTAAATTTATTTATTTATTAAAAATTTAAGGATAATAGCGAGATCATACAAATGATGTACTGAGGATGATTCTGAAATTTATTGGAAGATTAGGATATAAGAGAGAGGGACATAATAGCAAAGTGGGCGAGAGATGGATATGCTTGGCCCTCCTCACCTTTTAGACATTTTTTGGAATTTTTTTATCTATTTATCTCTTTCTACTTTCCTTGACCAAATTTATTTTTATCTCTTTCTATATATTTGCTTCTTCTTCTTTTTTTTCTTTTTGCCTATTCTTTGGTTTTTTTTTACCTATTGTTTTTCTTTTTTTTTGCTCAAATCTTTATTTTCTATTAGGTCTTTCATCCGCGCTACGCACCGATATGTATTTATATATTCTTTTAATATTAATTTTATTTTATTTTGAAATACTTAAAATTTTGTTTTTGAAATGGAAATACTTAAAACTGTTTCATTTTATCTTTATTGATAAGTTATTTATACATTTTGTTTAATTAAAAGATATGAAACCATGATAATAAAACTAATTGTAGTATAATAAATAAAACAATGGTAAGCATTAAATACATTAAATTAAAAGTTTACTTATACTTAAATCTCAGGAGCTCAACTGGTATTTAATATTTCTTTTTACTTTTGGTATTGAATTTTCCTTTTTTCATTGAAGGAGACTTTTTCTGTTCTTAATTTTTTAATTGTAGAGATTTTAAGAAATTTTCCTTTCTTATGTTTGGTCTAAAATAGTTATAGATAACATGTTTGCTTTGATTTATTCCATTTAAGTGCTTATTCTAAGAATCATATGTTAAGTAATTTTCCTTTCTTATTTTTGCTTTTAAAAGATTATAAAATTCATGTTTGCTTTGAGTTATTATATATAAATATGTTTATTTTAAGACTCTTTGCAAGTTGATTATATTCTTTTTAGAGAATCTTAAAATTTTCGGAGAAGACAAGTTTATCAATTCATTTACCACAAAACCAAAGTTTACCATTCATGAAAGACGATGGTGATGCAGAAGTTGTAAAAACCAAATTTGAAGCTTAGATGGAATGCAATAAGCTGTATGATGAGGCTATGACTCTTTTGTTTATAAAAATTAATTTACAGTTTATTTGGCATTCCAAATCTAAAGAGTGGCTTCCCCATCGTCAAATTAAAAGGGTTTCTCATAAAGTACGTCTTGCACACATTCCACCACAATATGGTGAGATTTTTTATTTAAAAACTTTGCTACTTGTTTCTAGAGGACCAACATGTTTTGATGATCTGAAGACAATAGATGATGTTCTATATCCGACTTTTGCTCAAGCATGTGTTGCAGCCGGATTGATGGATGCACCTAATAATGAGAATTAGAAGATTTTTTATTCTAAAATTCTTAGGTTCTTCTATTAGATTAGATTAGTCTATTCAAAGAACATTCTATGTTTGATTTTTTTTAAAAGAATAAGTTCATATACTATGTGCTTCTCTTTTCGACATATTATGTTTTAAGTTTATATATTCTATAAATTGGGTATACGTTTATCTATTTGTTATCTTGTGTTTATCTTGCATATCGTCAATATATATGATATGTTTCGTCGTTGCTTTCAATCTAAGTTCATTACTCCAGCTCATGCAAATTGTTTAGCACTTTCAAAACGATTAGCGGTAGCGGTAGGCTAAAAAAGAAGAAGATTACTTTGTTTTTGTTATTTTTTTTTGAACTTATCTTTTTGTTATATTGGTCAAAGGGACAAATTACTTTATTTTTCTAATATTGTGACCATCAGCGTGTATATATATATATATATATATATATCTATTACAAATAAACAATTTGACAGATGATATTGGTTAATTATCAAGCCTATTGTTTTTCTCTTTTTTTCTCAAATATTTATTTTCTACTAGGTCTTTCATCCGCGCTACGCGCAGATATGTATTTATATATTCTTTTAATATTAATTTTATTTTATTTTGAAATACTTAAAGTTTTGTTTTTGAAATGGAAATACTTAAAACTGTTTCATTTTGTCTTTATTGATAAGTTATTTATAAATTTTGTTTAATTATAAGATATGAAACCATGATAATAAAACTAATTGTAGTATAATAAATAAAACAATGGTAATCATTAAATAAATTAAATTAAAAGTTTACTTATACTGAAATCTCAGGAGCTCAATTGGTATTTAATATTTCTTTTTACTTTTGGTATTGAATTTTTCTTTTTTTATTGAAGGAGACGTTTTTTTGTTCTTAATTTTTTAAGTGTAGAGATATTAAGAAATTTTCCTTTCTTATGTTTGGTCTAAAATGGTTATAGATAACATGTTTGCTTTGATTTATTCCATTTAAGTGCTTATTCTAAGAATCGTATGTTAAGTAATTTTCCATTCTTATTTTTGCTTTTAAAAGGTTATAAAATTCATGTTTGCTTTGAGTTATTATATATAAACATGTTTATTTTAAGACTATTTGCAAGTTGATTATATTTTTTTTTAGAGAATCTTAAAATTCTCGGAGATGACAAGTTTACCAATTCATTTACCACAAAACCAAAGTTTACCATTCATGAAAGACGATGGTGATGCAGAAGTTGTAAAAACCAAATTTGAAGCTTAGATGGAATGCAATAAGCCGTATGCTGAGGCTAGGACTCTTTTGTATATAGAAATTAATTTACAGTTTATTTGACATTGCAAATCTAAAGAGTTGCTTCCCCATCGTCAAATTAAAAGGGTTTCTCATGAAGTACGTCTTGCACACATTCCACCACAATATGGTGAGATTTTTTATTTAAAAACTTTGTTACTTGTTTCTAGAGGACCAACATGTTTTGATGATCTGAAGACAATAGATGGTGTTCTATATCCGACTTTTGCTCAAGCATGTGTTGCGGCTGGATTGATGGATGCACCTAATAATGAGAATTAAAAGATTTGTTATTCTAAAATTCTTAGGTTCTTCTATTAGATTAGATTAGTTTATTCAAAGAACATTCTCTGTTTGATTTTAAAAAAAAAAAAAAAAGTTCATATACTATGTGCTTCTCTTTTTGACATATTATGTTTTAAGTTTATATATTCTATAAGTTGGGTATTCGTTTATCTATTTGTTATCTTATGTTTATCTTGCATATTGTCAATATATATGATATGTTTCGTCGTTGCTTTCAATCTGAAATTCATTACTCCAGCTCATGCAAATTGTTTAGCACTTTCAAAACGATTAGCGGTAGCGGTAGGCTAAAAAAGAAGAAGATTACTTTGATTTTGTTATTTTGTTTTTTTGAACTTATCTTTTTGTTATATTGGTCAAAAGGACAAACTACTTTATTTTGCTAATATTGTGACCATCAGCGTATATATTATATATATATATCTATTAATAATAAACAATTTGACAGATGATATTGATTAATTACCAAGCCTATTGTTTTTCTCTTTTTTTTCTCAAATCTTTATTTTCTACTAGGTCTTTCATCCGCGCTACGCGCGGATATGTATTTATAT